GTTCATAGTTCTAATTATTTATTTGTTGTGTTTTGTTTGACAGATTCGTCGTATTATGGATTCACCACTTCAGTATTATATATTTTTTTGTTCGTATATATGTTAATCAATCTATTGAATATTCTTGATAATTATGTGTGTTTGTGTTATTTGTTCTTAGGTTCGTTGTGATTTCAGACTTTAATTAAGGTATGTAACTTATGTTTTATTTTTAAATGCTCTGGTATTGGGATGTTCCGGTTGTGATTTCTTTGCGTATCCATTCACATGCAGGTCCTACGTTCTTTGTCGATCCTATGTATGCATGATGAACTACCGGTATGTTTTCTAAATTTTTGGTTTCTTTTAATGCAATTAAAATTATTTACACAAATATAATTCTTTTTCTATCTAATTCGTAAGTTCTCTATTTTATTTTGGTTGCTAGGTTTCCCTTCACTTCTTATTTGTAATCTCACTTTGCCTTATTGGATAAGGATGAAATATTGTAGATTTGTAAGTAACATATATTTGATTGTGTTTAAATTAATCTAATTACTATCGTCTATTTATTGATACATTTTGTTTTGTTTTGTGTAATGTTCTTAATTTATTTCAGGAGCTCCTATATATATATGACTTCTCGCTGAAGGAATCAGCCATAGGACATTCGTGAGTGGCGGATGCGAATGGTAAAATAATAAATTAGCTTTGTTAAATTGATCATTCGCTCTGTCTCCAAGAACAACATGAATATGTGATATGTGTTTGATTGTACGTAGCACTAATTAGAAAGGGTTTAATCTTGGTTTCGTAATCTTTCAGGTATCTGAACGTTTATATCCCAAGGGAAGTTTTCTTGCTGATAATCACATGCCTTTGGTTGGAAAACTAAAACCCGCTTCGTTGTTTTCAATATTCTAACTCTTTATGTTTGAAAAGAATTTGTTCTTCTGTTTTTGATCCATTTAGTGTATGTCTTTTCAACAAGATAAATCTCTAAATCAGTAATTTCTTCATTCTTTATTTTATTTGCCGAAGCCATAGAGTATTAGCCGCTGCTTTTCCTTTACGTCATCCAACATTACTAGAAAAGAAAAACTCTTCCTCAAAAGCAAAAGAATCTCTTCCTCGAAAAAGAGAGTAAATTCTACCTCTTTTCTTTAATATTTCTTTCATTTAGTTTTTTTTTTTTAATTATAAGAATGGCCATATACTTCTGACAATTTGCTTCTAATCATGTCTGACTATATCTATCTATACAAGCTTAACTCATTTTTTAGGAGCTGATCTAACAAGAATAGAGGCCAAATACTTTGGATGATGTTATCCGGATCATTCCTCTCTTTATATCTTTAAGTATTCGAATCATAAACTCTTAAAATCCTAAGAGATTGTAACTCACAGATACTTGAAAGATGTTTTCAATAGAATGACTGAGCGAAGCTAAAGTTGACAAAAGATTTGGATTTGAAGAGACCCCCACTAAGAAAGGTTGGAGATTCTTTAAAAAG